CCGGTCTATTTTTGGGGTCCGAACCCTGGGCGGGGGCGCCGCCGCGCTCCCAAGTGGCGCACTGTAGCAGTGCGCCACCGGGCCGGCCCATTTCATTCATGGTTTAATGATGCCTGGGTTGTAACAGAAAAAGTGTCGAGGGAAAAATAATTCATATTTTACTTCTATACATTAGACCTGCCCAGGGAATAAAATTTGGAAATCACATAATAAATATGAAATCTGAATGCTTGATTGAGGATTTGCTTTCATTTCTTCACTAGCTGGGCTTGGGGACATATATTTTAAAGCTTTTAAAGGCATTTGTGAGAGATTATATAGGCCATAAAATGTATTACCTATCAAAAATAAAAATCAGTAAAGAATATAGTTGACTTGTTAGGAAAAAAAGAACCTTCACCAATTTTAAGTTGCTCTCAGTTCTCTTTACAAGTGAACTTGGGAAAGTTTTTATTTTTGCAATTTTTAATCATGACCTTGCTTTGCTTCCATGTATTTAATTTCACTGGAATGATATTTCAAAGAAAAGCCTTTCTGGAAATTGCTTTTCCTTTAGTAGCTAGAAGTGGAACAAAGCACTCACAGGAGTGCAGTTCCACGCAGCAGATCAGCTGTTTGGCATGGGTAGAGAAGAAGGTGCATTGAAACTTGGTACATCTGTGTTTAGCCTTAGGCAGGAAGTCTGTTTCTTCAAGTAAACCTAACATACTAAAGATATTCCCTGTGGACGGCTCGTTTCCAGGCCAGCAGCGTGGCAGACAAGGCGTACTGTTTTAAAGGCAAAGCCTCAATTGTTGAAGGAATCCTTCTAGTGCTTTTGGCTTCTAATACAGATAGACAGATAGACGTGCCTCTCTCGACTTGGCTGAAGCAAGCCCCAATTGTCCACTCCCAGAGTATGGCTACAAGGAGGGAAATTACACTTCCCAATATATGCCAGTATTCTAGATACATAGCTCTAAAATGTACATGCAATTGTTTGCACTGTTATGAGATTTTATTATTAAAAAAGCACTAGTTTAAGCATATTTAAGCATAGAAATGTTTTTCTAGTGTTCAGCATAGCTCAAACAACTTTTCCAGATGGGTTGCAAGAGGTCAGCCTCACAGATTTTGTTTCTGCTGGAGAGGTCATCCCTTGCCATATGTCTTTGCGTGCTTTTCCTGCCAGCTGTGGAAAGTTATAGTGCATGGCTTAATTTTGGCTGCTGTACTATTTCTTTTTTTTTTTTTTTTTTTTTTTTTTTTTTTTTTTTTTTTTTTTTC